GGGGGGGGGGGGCCCCCAGACCCCGCCAGGGAACGCCCTCCCCCTCCCCTAGCCGCTCCTCCTCCTCCTCCTCCTCATCCTCATCCTCCTCCCCCTTCTCCTCCTCCTCATCCTCCTCCTCCTCCTGATCCTCCTCCTACCCTAGCCCCTCCTCCTCCTCCTCCTCCTCCTCCTTCTCCTCCTCCTCCTTCTCCTCCGCCTGAAAGCATTATGGATGGAATGTTGACAATACGTCTGTTGAGCGAATACCTATCACAACGATTGCGGACACTTCACGTGTCCAGCTGGTGTCCGCCACCGTGGCCCCTGGCACGTTGAGGCGTGCGAGAATGCCAAGTGCTGTCTGGTAGGGTTTCTGAAATCTTCTAAGGGACCTCCCCCCTCTCCCCGCCGCACATCGCCGCACGCACGGGCCCTGCTCCCGGGGGGGTCCTTGGGCGGCCATGGCGTCTCCCTGGGGCTCTTCAAGGCTTCCACGACGGCCCAGGAGGCCCCCAAGAGGGTCCAAGAGGGCCCCGAGTCGCCGAACGATCGCTCGAAAACGCCCAAGATGGCCTCGAGATGGCGCAAGAGGCTTTCAAGGCGCCCCAAGAGGCCTCCAAGAGCCCTCTCAAGAGCCCTCCCAAGAGGGCCCCCAAAGGCAGAAATCCGCCGACCCTGTCGGCGTGTGTGAGGGGCTTTTCCGTTCGAGCCGTCATCTCCGTCATTCTTTGTACTCGTCGTCTCTGTCCTTCCCTTTCCCTGGGAGACCTCTTCCCCTGGGCTCCAGCCAAGCCGACCTTGAGCAACCTCGTAATTGAGTCGAAGGGAAGCCCCTTCCCTTTGATCCCTCCCCCGCCGGGAGGGGGGGGGGGGTGTCGACCCCCCCCCCGGGTCAGATACGACGCCCCCCCCTGGGACTCCTCTTCCCCTGGGCTCCAGCCAAGCCGACCTTGAGCAACCTCGTAATTGAGTCGAAGGGAAGCCCCTTCCCTTTGATCCCTCCCCCGCCGGGAGGGGGGGGGAGGGTGTCGACCCCCCCCCGAGTCAGATACGACGCCCCCCCCTGGACTCCCTACTTCCACTGGGCTCCAGCCGACCGACCCTTGACAACACTCGAAATTGATCGGAAGGGAAGCCCCACCCCTTTGAACCCTCATCCCCCGCCGGAGGGCCCGGGGGTCGACCCCCCACCCGTCTGATACGACGCCCCCCCCTGGTCTCCTCGCTTCCCCTGGGCTCCAACAGCCAAAGAGCCACTTGAGCACCTCGTAATTGAGTCCGAAGGAAACCCCTTCCTTATGATCCTCCCCCGCCGGGAGGGGGGGGGTGTCGACCCCCCCCCCGGGTCCGATACCACGCCGCCCCCTGGACTTCTACTCCCTCTTCCCCTGGGCTCCAGCCAAGCCGACCTTGAGCAACCTCGTAATTGAGTCGAAGGGAAGCCCCTTCCCTTTGATCCCTCCCCCGCCGGAAGGGGGGGGGGTAGCGACCCCCCCCCCGGGTCAGATACGACGCCCCCCCCTGGGACTCCTCTTCCCCTGGGCTCCAGCCAAGCCGACCTTGAGCAACGTCGTAATTCAGTCGAAGGGAAGCCCCTTCCCTTTGATCCCTCCCCCGCCGGGAGAAGGGGGGGTGACGAGCCCCCCCCCGCTCTTCCGCTCGGTCAGATACGACGCCCCCTCCTGGACTCCTCTTCCCCTGGGATCCAGCCAAGCCGACCTTGACAACCTCGTACTTGAGTCTCAAGGGAAAGCCCCTTCCCCTTTGATCCCTCCCCCCCCCGGAGGGGGGGGGGGGTTCGACCCCCCCCCCAGGGAACAGATACGACGCCGCCCCCCTGGGAACGCCTCTGCCCCTGGCTCCAGCCAAGCGATCTTCCGATCTCTCGTAATTGAGTCGAAGGGAACGCTTCCCTTGGATCCTCCCCGCCTCGGGGGGGGGGGTGTCGACCCCCCCCCGGGTCAGATACGACGGCCCCCCCCTGGGACTCCTCTTCCCCTGGGCTCCAGCCAAGCCGACCTTGAGCAACCTCGTAATCTCTTGCTGCGCATTGCGAACAGGGTCGGCGGCACCGGCCGTCAGGCCTTCGCAATCATTGATTGTCCTACGTTTTTGAAAAACGTTAGCGTTCTCGCCTTCTCGTTTTTTTACATGTTGGCGTTCTCGCCGTCTCGGCTTTCCGACGCTCCACGACGGCCCAAGAGGCCGCCAAGACCACCCCAAAACGTCCCAAGAGGCCTCCAAGAGGGCCCCAAGACGGCCTAAGAGCGTCCCAAGACGGCCCAAGAAGCGCCCAAGACGGCCCAAGAGGGCCCCAAGGCGGCCCAAAAATGAGCCGCAGAGAGGAAACACGATCCGAAAATCCGAACCTTCTGCCCCAAGGAGACCCCAGGAGGCCCCAAGAGGCGCCCAGGAGGCCCCAAGAGGCGTCCAAGAGGCCCCCAAGAGGCGCCCAAGAGGCCCCCAAGAGACCCCAAGAGGCACCCAAGAGGCCCCAAAACGGCCCCCAGGAGGCCTCAAAATTGCCTCCAAGAGGCCCCCGAGATGCCCCAAACGAGATTCCAACGAACATCCACTAGGCGTATAACCCACAACCCGGGCACGGTGGCGTGGCTGCAAACGGTTGTCCTGCCCCTGACGGTCCCAAGACGGCCCAAGATGGCCTCCAGGATGCCTCCAAGACGGCCAAGATGCTCTCCGCGACGGCTAAGATGGCCCCAAGATGCCTCCAAGACGGTCCTAGAGGCACCCAAGACGGCCTGAGATAGCCTCAAGATGGCCCAAGACGGTCCAAGAGGCCCTCAAGAGGCCTCCAAGACGGTCCAAGAGGCCTCCAAGAGGTCCTCCAGGAAGGCCCGAAGAGGCGAAAATAATTGATTTCCCTTCGGTTGTTGACGGATTTTGCAATTTGCGCCTTTTCGGCTTTCCGACGGCCCAAGACGGCCCAAAAGGCCGCCAAGGTCGCCCTAAGATCGCCCAAGAGGCCTCCAAGATGGCCCCATGACGGCCTCGAGACGGCCCCAAGAGGGCCCCAAGACGGACCAAGAGGCCTTTAAGACGCCCAAGATGGCCTCTAAGACGGCCCCGAAGCGCCCCAAGAGGGCCCCAAGTCGGCCCAGAGAGGCCCCCAAGACGGCTCCCGACGGCGTCAGACGGGCCAGGAACCCACCAAGATGGCCGAAGTTGGCTCGAAGCTGGCCCAAGACGACCCAAGAAGCCTCCAAGAGGCCTCCAGGAAGACCAGAAAGAACGCCAAAAACATGAATTGTCCTTTGGATTTTGACTGATTTGGGAATTTGCGCCTTTTCGGCCTTCCGACGGCCCGACACAGCCCAAGAGCTCCCGAAGATTACCCAAAGATCGCCCAAGAAGACTCCAAGATGACCCCATGACGGCCCAAGAGGCCGCCAAAACGGCCCCAAGAGGCCCCCAAGACGGCCCAGGAGGCCTTTAAGACACCCAAGATGGCCTCCAAGACGGCCCTGGAGCACCCCAAGTCGGCCCAGAGAGACCCTCCAAACGGCTTCCGACGGCGTCAGACGGGCCAGGAGCCCACCAAGACGGCCGAAAATGGTCTTAAGATGGCCCAAGACGGCCCAAGAGGCCTCCAAGAGGGCCTCCAGGAAGGCCCGAAAAGGCCAAAATCATTGATTTCCCATGGGTATTTGAAGGATTGTGGCATTTGCTTGTTGTTCGGCCTTCCGACGGCCCAAGACGGCCCAAGTGCCCCCAAAGATCGCCCAAGACGGCCCCAAGAGGCCCCCAAGACGGCCCAAGAGGCCTCCAAATCCGATAGAACACATGGTCCGATAGCTTGGCAGGTCTGGCCTCAACGTTCGGCCACATAGGCGTTTCCAAAAAGGCAGGGGGCGGCGGTGATTCGCCGTAGGCGTCTTCGATCCGCCGCCCCCTGTTGATTCATCACAGGGGTGCCTGGCGTGCTAGACCCTCTCGGTTTTGGTTTTGGTGCTTTTCCAAAAGAACTGCCCCTGGGGCTCCGGCGCGTCCCGCCGGCCACCCCGAAAATCGCTCCGTCGTCGCCAAAAACGGCCGTTTCGTTCGGGACATCCTCAAAAATCGCGAATATGGCCCAAGGTGGCATCTAAGTCCGCCCAAGATGGTCCAAGACGGCCTCCAAGACGGCCCAAGAGAGTCCAAGACGGCCCAAGACGGCCCAAGAGGCCCCCCAGAGGCCTCCAAGACAGCCCAAGAGGCCTCCAAGAGGTCCTCCAGGAGGGCCCGAAGAGGCTAATTTCGTTGATTTTCCTTAGGTTTTTGAAGGGTTTTGGGTACTTGCGCCTTTTCGGCTTTCCGACGGCCCAAGACGGCCCAAGAGGCCCCAAAGAGGGCCCCATGACGGCCCAAGTGGCCTCCAAGACGGCCCCAAGAGGGCCGCAAGACGGCCCAAGAGGCCTCCAACACCCCCAAGTGGCCTCCAAGACGCCCAAGATGGCCTCCAAGACGGCCCCGAAGCGCCCCAAGAGGGCCCCAGTCGGCCCATCAAGGCCCCTAAGACGGCTCCCGACGGCGTCAGACATGCCAGGAACCCACCAAGATGGCCGAAGTTGACTCGAAGCTGGCCCAAGACGGCCCAAGAGGCCCCCCCCAAGAGGGCCTCCAGGAAGGCTTATGGTTTTTGACGGATTTTGACATTTCCTTCTTTTCGGCCTTCCGACGGCCCGTGACGGCCCAAGAGCCCCCAAAGATCTCCCAAAGACCGCCGAAGAGGCCTCCAAGATGGCCCCAGAACTGCCCGAGAGTGTCCCACGACGGCCCCAAGAGGCCTCCAAGACGGTGGCCTCCAAGACGGCCCTGGAGCATTCCAAGAGGACCCGAAGTCGGCCCATAGAGGCCCCCCAAACGGCTT